AACATGTTTTTAAATACTCTTGTCTGTGATTGCAGGATTCTATTGAAGAGTTTCCAATAGACAGTGCTGATGCATACCTTCCGTGAAGGAAATAAAAGTGCCGATGGCCCGTTAGGAGGGGAAGCGGGGCCTTGCAAGAATCTTCTTCCCATGTTTTTAGTCCTGTTCTTTTTGAGTTCTTCCCTACCCCCTGTTTGTGTTATCCCCCTCTTATTAGCTTAAACTATTGGGATAATGACGTATGGTACTTTATTTTCATGATCTATGAATGTTTTCTTTGTCGACCGAAAAAAAAAAATCACTTCTATTATGAAAAATAGAATAAATAAATTTGAAGATGACTTTTGATAATCCACTTTTAGATGAAATTCAGGTTATTCTCAAAAAACAAAACAACGATCCAATAACTTTAGGTGATTTAAATCATTATCATATATAATTTTTAAATTTCTATAAATACAATGAATAACAAATCACTTTTATGAAATTCTAAAAAAATTTTAAAATTTTTTAAAATTTTTTTTAAAATTCTAATTTTTTAAAAATTTGAAAATTCAAAAAAATAAAAAATTTAAAAATATATGAAAATTTATAAAAAAATATTAAAAATTTGAAAAAATTCAAAATATTTGTAAAAAATTTTTAAAAGAATTATAAAAAAATTTTAATTTCTTTTAAAAATTCTAAAAGAATAAAAGAAACTTAAAAAATCCCAAAATATTAAAAAAAATCCCAAAAATACAAAAAAATGATGATTTTAATAAATATAAAATTTTCTTTAAATTAAAAAAATCACAAAAATTTAAAAATAATTAAAATAAGAAATTTTTTAAAAAATCTGAAAATTTTCATTTTTTTAATCATAAAATTTTAATTTTTCATATATTTTTTGAACTTTTAAAATTTTTTTGAAATTTTAAGTTTTTTTATTTTTATTTTTCATAGCATTTGGATTTTTTTATTTTCAATTTTTTAATTTTTTGTGATTTTTTTAAAACTTTAAGAAATTTTAGTTCTTATTAAATTTTCTCCTTTTTTTCACATTTTTTTTATTTTTTACTAAATTTTGCAAAATTTTTTAATATTTCAAATTATGAAATTTTTATAATTTATAAAAATATTTCATATATTTTAATTTTTTTCAAATTTTATAGAAATTTTTTAAAGATTTTTTAGTAGTTTTTGGGAATTTTTAGAATTTTTAAAAAATTTTAAAAAATTTTAAAATTTTTTGAAATTTTTTAGTTTTTTTTTAATTTTCTTTTTATACTAACGTGACATGATAGCGCGATGCTGATTAGATTTTTTAATATGTGTCAACATTTTATTGAATGTTTATGCTATTTTAACAAAATTGACTAACGGCATCAGTAGGAGGTATTAACATAATAACATAATGAAAGTTCAGGTACCAATGTGATAATTATAATTTCTTAGGTACCAATGTGATAGTAAGTATAAAGTTCAGAGGTCAAATACATATTTAACAAAAAAAAAATCATAACTCCATGTAACCTTAATTTGTGATAGTTTCAAAAAAAAAAAAAAAAACCTTAAATTGTGTTAGCTTAGTGTAGATTTCATAATTTCAAATTTTAAAATTGAAGTATAAATATTGTAAACACCTATTTTGTTTGAAAAAAATAAAGTGTTAGTTAATTTTTGATTTTCATTTGGATCCATTTAAATATTTTAATTAAATTTATTGCGAATCTAATTGAATTTTATAATTTATAATTTATTAATTTTATTTTGTTATTAGTATATTTTATATATTTTTTCCTTTTTTCTCTTTCTTTTTTTCTTCTTTTTATTTTTCTTTCTTCTTTCCCAAAGGTCCTCAGTGTATTTATTACATCGTATGCAAGCCACCTTGACACCCACCTAACGTCGCAATAAAAATCACAACAACCAAAATCACCAACCAGATCTTTCAAAGTCTCTCACAATCCCATAAATTTAGGAATTTGAGCTCCAATTGACTCTTTTAAATCGGGCTTGTAATCATAGACACAAGGAAAATTTTACGAAGACAAAAAAAAGATCATGCAAAAATATCTACCTACCTAACTCCACCGAAACCTACCTTTGTCTATTGCCAAGCCAAAATTTTCCCACACCTCACCCATCATCACCTTAACACTTTGCCATCGACAACTAATCCAAACTGTGACATCACCCACCTAAAAATTTTGAAACCCAAACACCCCCTACATATAACTTACGAGCAACCAAAAATAAAAAAATCAATACATCCCCTTTTAGGGAACAACAACATCAAAAGCACATAAAAAAAACGAATAATGCAAAGGGTTTTGAGGGGTGTTATAGTGGGATTTGGGCTTTTATATTTTAAGGAAGAGGAGTTTTGAGGAAAGGTGACCGGTTAGCTTGGTGAACAAAGGCTGATAAGAAAAAGTGTGACTGTTAACAACTGCAAAGGGTTGTCGGCATCTTTTTTTTTTTTTTAGAGAGAGAGGTAGCTTGTTTGAGAGAAGAGGAGTAGAGAGAGAGTGTGAAGGAGTAAAATGAAGTGAAAATTTTTTTTGGCTTTTATACTTTAAAAAAAAACACACAAAATGACATCATTTTTAATGAATGACCCATACGTCAATCTATGACTCGATCTAAGATCTGCGCAACTGACCCATTTACCTGCTAGCTAAATCAACCTAAATTGAGCTAGATTAACTTGAACTATGACCTAGATTGCCTAAACTACTCACCTGAACTAGGTTGAACTACCATTGATCGATGTTGATTGTCATTAACCAACCATTGACCGCTCATTTTTTATTTTTTTAATTTTTTCTTTTCTTTTTCAATTTTTTGTTTTAAATTAAATCATTTATATTATTGTATTTATTTATTTGATGTATGTACGTTTTAAATTTAAATTTGTTTGAGTTTGGGATATTTAGTTTAAATAATAGTGAAATAAACAATAATAGAATTATTAAATAAAGTGTTAAATTAAAATCTTTTGCATAATAATAATTTTATCATAAAATTTAACAAATTTTAAGAAAAAGTAAAAATAATAAATAAATAAAGTGATATGATAAAAAATATTTCAAAAAATAAATTTTCAAACACTTGTGAATTTACTATTGATAAACAATTTTTTTTTTTTGTAAATTCTACCTAAATGATAATGTATTTAGAAGAAATTTTCAATAATATTTATTTTGAAACAAAAATAAAATTAAGTAAATAAAATTAAATAATCAAATATTTGAAAATTAACATTTTAGGATTTTTTAGGGATAAATATAGATTGAAATCAATGATATATCCTAGATAAATTATGAATTTGTAATTTTCTAGAGAAGTTTTTTTTTTTTTTTGCTAAATTTTTATCAAAATGATGAAAAATTTAGAAAAATAAAAAATGAAATTTAATGTCAAAGGTCACGAAATCAAATAATAGCAAAGAATAAGAACAAAAAATAAGAATTACTAATTAAGAAATTAATATATAATGATAAAGATTTTTTAAGTTTGGGAATAATAAAAATCGAATTAATCATGAAATTATAAGAAATCGCGAAAGAATGATTTTTATAAAAGGTTCTACTTTTGAAAATCTATCCAAAATTTATCAGAATAATGAAAAATTTGAAAAAAAAAAAGAGTTTTAACTAAACGTTTTACATTTATTCTTGAGTAAGAGATATATAAAATATATATATATATATATATATTAATTAGTTACATTTCACTTTTATAAGATTTCAATAAATCATAGGAATAAAAAGAATAATCATTAATCCACAATATAGTTATAAAGGAAATGATGAACAAGCAATTTTCTTAAGAATCTGTCGAAAAAATATTTTGTCTATATTATTTCAAAATGATGAATAATTTATAAAATTAAAAATTAAAACCAATTTTAAATCTTCTTTTCATAGATGTTAGAACTTTTAGATATAATTAAAATAAAAAACTATTTAATTATGACCATTTTAAAATAATACAAAGTTAATTGATAACGTTTTTGAACAGAGACTATAAATGTATTAATCTTTCTCATTTATAATTTTACTTTCGAACTTAATTTATAACATAGATAAAAACCTATCCATTTTATAAAATCTTAATTAAATTTACGATTTTTTTCAAAGGAATAGATTTTACTTAATAACCATTCATACCTTAACAAAAACATTGACAGTGTCTCTTGATTTTTATTCCTAGTCATGGTATCCCCAAACCACTTCGTTATGACAAATATGAAACGAGTGATAACTAATTTTTCATTTTTATGATTCCAATAAGATAAACAACTTTAACTTGTAAAAAAAAAACAAAACTTTAATATGTCTACGACACATATAATCCAATGAGATAAAAATTTAATTGAAGTTTTATAAGTGAAGTTCATAAAATTTCATGTTAGAAATGAGTAAATGAAAATTAAAATTAAAAATTAAAATCGATAGATTAAAATATCTCATCACATAGATTAATTGTACAAAAAATTTTAAAAAATTTTGATATATTTATTAAATAGATATTTTTAGTAAAAATATTCATAAAATTTTTATCGTTAGATAAATATCAATTAAATTTAAATTATAAATAATATTTTTAATAATATTTTTATATATTATTAATTTTTAAATTAAATTCTATTACTTTATCAATTTGAATCTTTTATTAAAATTTTTATTTATTCATTTTTAATAAAAAATTTCATAAATTTCACGTATCTCTTGTTTGTTCAGGATAGGACAAATCCGTGATAGTATAAAAAATATAGTGCTATTTTCGTCAAACCATTCAAACCCTAAAATTAAACTACATATTTAAAGGCAAATAAATAGCTAGGGTTAGAGTTTCCAGTTTGCACTAGTCGGCTCTTCCCCCCTCCTCAGTCTCTTACTTTCAGATTTAGTCTCAGTAAAGTTTTCTCGCACTAGCCAAAATGGGGTCAGTTTTTATTTCTTATCTCTACTCTTTTTCTAAATGTTATTTTTTGTTCTTATCAGTTTGATCCTTGCATTTGAAAAAAAATGCTGGCTTTCTGATTCATTTTGTGACTGCCCTTTACTTCGTTTCAGTAAAGTTGTAGTTGGGATTTGGTTTATATGATCAGATGATTTTAGGGTCAATAATGTTTTTTTTTTTTTCTGGGTGTGTTTGGTTGGTGATAAAGGTGTTGAATTTGTGGGCCAAAATGTCTTTAATTTCCTGTTTGGTTGATGGGAAAATTGTGGAAGAAGGAAATGGAATGTGAAAAATTAGATTAGTATGTCTGATTATCGTAGTTGTAGGGCAGGATTTGTACCTAGAAAGTTATGAAAAATATAATTAATGAACTTTTGAAGCATTGGGTTGGATTAGGTTATCTATTGTGGTGGATTTTTTAGCTTTTATCTGTGATGCTTATTTATCTGGAAGATTGGTGTTGTTCAAGGAAATTTTCTTTTCTTCTTTTATGATTTGTGTTATATTTTGGGGAAATATGCTGAAAAAATGGGAGTTTTGAGCAGGAAGACACGTGGAATGGGAGCTGGTCGTAAGCTGAGAACCCACCGTAGGAGGCAGAGGTGGGCTGACAAGGCATATAAGAAGTCAAATCTTGGAAATGAATGGAAGAAACCATTTGCTGGATCATCACATGCCAAAGGCATAGTTCTTGAGAAAATGTTAGAACTAAGTTATGCTTTTTATGATATTTTAAGGGTATAGATGTGGCAGAGAGTGTTTGAATTGGATTCAGAACTTGACAATTTGGTAACTGGCATTTACAGTGGCATTGAAGCTAAGCAGCCTAACTCTGCTATCCGAAAATGTGCTCGTGTTCAGCTAATCAAGAATGGAAAGAAAATTGCTGCTTTTGTACCCAATGATGGTTGCTTAAACTACATTGAGGAAAATGTAAGTTGTACACGAATTTCTGGTTTTTGTCATAACTTTTCATTTTTTTTGATCCATGCTTTTCTCTTTAGCTAATGCTTCGTGAGTAGAATTTCATTGATCCATGTTCGTAATTGCTCAGTCTTTGGGATGTTTTATCTACTGGCATTATTTGTTAGTTCAACAAAATTGTGAAAAGCTTGCTGTAGGTAAAGGGGCCTTCTTCTAAGTGTTGTTCCCTAATGCCATGGTTGGTATGATTTGGTGCAGGATGAGGTTTTGATTGCAGGATTTGGACGAAAAGGGCATGCCGTGGGAGATATTCCTGGAGTCAGGTTCAAGGTTGTTAAGGTATCTGGTGTGTCTCTTCTAGCTCTTTTCAAAGAGAAGAAAGAGAAGCCAAGGTCATAGGATTACTGGAAGAGTGTAGCTTTCATCATGCTTTACCAAATTTTTGTTTGCATCAAAATGGTATTGCTTGGAATTTTGTAATGAAGGATTTTGTGAACAAATTTTCATTTAGCGACTTAAAAACTGCCCTTGTTTGTTCTGAAGTGAAAATTTTGATTAGTTTAGTATTAATATATTGTTGCTTTACAGCATTTAACTTTTCCTATGATGTTATTGTGGATGAATAGACGATTAAATGCTGCAGGGATAGAAGCAGGAAAATATTGCTTCAGTTTCCTGAATTTGGCATAAAATACTGATATGTGATTATCATTTATCAATAACTAATTCGAAATGTTTTTGGGTTTTTGTAAAACATTGCATGGATTTCTAGTTGAAAATCTCTTGTAATTACTTCTTTATTCAGCTGTGTGCTTTGGCCCACGGGCTCATGTCTCTTTTGGATTAGATCTAATAATACAAAATTGATATAATTTAAAATTTTAGTAATAGTTATATATATATTTAATAAAATTATAAAAATATATTTTATATTTTTGTATGATATAAATTATTGTGATAGGTATTTTTTGAGTAACATACAATGAGTATATCAATTAAAGATACAAATTGATACAATTTAAAATTTTAATAATAGTTATATATAAATTTAATAAAATAAAAATTTTTTTATATTTTCATAAATATGAATTATTGTGATATGTAATTTTTGAATAAGACATGATATGAATGTATAAATTTTAATATTTTATATGATATGAATACATAAATTATTAAATTTGAATAGATTAATCCTATTAAATATTTTAAATCAAACAATCATTCTTCTAATAAATCAATTAAACATTTGATATAAAGTATTAGGGTGTGTTTTCAATAATTATTTTTAATATGGATTAATCTTGAATAATTAACAAATTGAAAACTATGAATATAAAAAAATAAAGGTAAAATAGACTATTGGTCGCTCAATTGTGATTGTGTTTTTAAAATGATCATTTAATTATTAATTTTTTTTTAATTTAATCACTTCAATTTGAGTAAGTATAATTTTTTTTTTCATTACTTAACCATTAATCTTTAACACTATACCGATACTACATTGTCACTTCAACGATAAAATAGTACGTGGCACTATCACATAATTTTTTACTTTAGCTATCAATATATCATGTAATTGTCAAATGACGTGATAATGTCACAGGACATATGATTGTTAATAAGATAATGTTATATCAACACATCATTAAAGATCAATAACTAAATGATAAAATATATTTATTTATATTTAAAAAATAATAGTTAAATGATCATTTTAAAAATACCCATACAATTCAATGATTGTTTATGTATTTTACCTAAAAAAGCTTCTTTGTTGATCAAACGCTTGTTTCTTACCGTGATTTTCGTCGACAACTGCCCTCTCATTTTGCTGATGTGCATGATTTTGACTTTTGTGTTGATAATGGATTATTTTGTTTATTTTGTCTACGGAATCCAACCACATGAGAAATCAGGAACCTCCCTGAATGTAATCAATCAAAACATTCCGCCACCTTTATGCATACTCTTGGATTTGGATTGGATCCTTTGTCCAATGATTACAAGGTGATTTATATTCGGACATACGTATATTTGGAGAGGGATATGAAAAGACCAACTCGCTATGGATGAGCACTGATTCATGGGGAGTGTTGGAAAAGAGTGAGTTCTTTCCAATGGTAAGGGTTACTCTAAGCTCTAGTGTTTTCTTTTGTTTTCGTTTGTACAATGTTTACCATTTTCTCAGATTGTTTTAAGGACATGTTCGTGCATGGTTAATAAAAGAGGGTTATTCTGACTATTAAGCCGTTGCTTTTGAAACTACATTTGGTTCTTTCAGTTATTTCATTGCAACATGGATGAAACAGATATCTTTGCTTCTCAGATTTTTCATGTGCTTGAGTTAGAGAACGTCTTGCATCATGGGCGATACACTGATTTTGGAAAGAAATAGGTGATGAGACCTGTGAAAATGGTGTTATCACGGGATAGTCACTTGTGGTTGATTGCTTACCAGCCTCCAATTCTGGTTTCTCAAACTTAAGTTTTCCCTTTATTTCTCCTTACTTTGCTTCCCTTCCCCTTGCTGGATGGCCAAATTAGCAACAAGAAGAAGTTGATAAACATAAATAAATGGTTTCAAGATTAATTAATAGTATATACATAACAAAACAACATAGCAACCAAGAAAATAGTGCAATAAAAAAAAGTTTCCATTAGCATATTCCAAAAGAGAAAAATCAATCCCAGGAAGTGATCACCAGAAGTACATGCAAACAGCTACAGATAAAAACTCCCCAAATACAAACCTTCCTCTTCCTCCCATTATTGCCTAAAATCCCAATATCCTCCGCTATAATAAAACAAACTAGACAAGGAAAAAAAATCAGCAAATTAGCAAAGCAAAGGAGTCCCATTTTTTGTGCATATACTTCTGAAAGAACCTGGAGACATATTGATCAGATCATCGATTGAGCATATAACAGTTAGTCATCAATGGCAAAAACCACTCCATCCTTCTTTTTGAAGCTATGTGTTGTATGATCCACCTCCTATATAGAAAAAAAATGAAACAAAAGTAAGATTATTTCAACTCCATTTGAAGATGCAAAAACGTGGCATCCCATTCATGATTTTCAACATATGTAATATCTGTTCTTGGTAGTTTGTATGTATGTGGGAAACCAATCTCACAGATTATGATCCAAAAATCAAATTTCCTGAGGCTTAAGGGTGAATCTAAATAACTTTAAAAGATGCACCACCTTAGGCCTATACATTTTGCTTATGGGATTAGAAATGGTCTAATTATTCAACAATTTGATAGGGGATCAAAACATATAGGAAGTTTATACATTTAATATCATGATAGTTAAATGACTTCCTATGATTCCTTTATAGAAGCTTAATTCTTAACCTTATTGGTTCTTGCTGAATTAAATTAGAACTTTTCACCCTCCCACTCAATTATACTACTGTTCTTGAAAAAGAAAATCGAAGTTTAGCTAACTGATGGAAATTGAACCCCTTGATTTCTTCATTTCTATTTCCAATATAGGCTTTAGCATCTTTCACTACCTAGCCTGGTGGCACCAGGACCGTTTGTGAGGCATGCAGGCATAGGTTTGAACACAAGAAACCTCTTACCTCAAAATTACAGAAGAGAAACATAGAAATACTCTATAAAGTGATGTTGCAGATGCACCAAAAAAGATAAGATAGTGATAAAACTCACATTGGTATCACTTAGTTCTAAGTTGTAGAAGTACATAGAGTGTTCCTTAAATAGAGGTCCAGCATGCCAAGTTCCAACATTAAGTTTTAGGAACTTAGGACCTGAAATTCTGAAAACTTGCACACCATCAACAGCTGGAGGCAGATAAAAATGACCACAATGTGACTGCAGAGGTGCCTTGCCCTTCTCATTCTTAGTTTCTTTTGAGTCCACTATTGATGGCTTAGCAACTCCAAGATACCAAACGTGACCTCCATTGGATCCAAGGCATTGGGTTACACTGGCATGGTGTGTAATTGTGGCAAACTTGAGTGGTTGGTCCTCAAGCCGCATAATCTGTAACCTGTGTTAAAAGTGCATCGACAGAAATCCCTCTTAAGAACATTACGAAGAATTTGTTAACGAGAGCTTATGAACATTAGTTAAGGTATTATTGTAGAAAATTATTTTTTCAATTAATGTTTTTGCCAAATTCAAAGGAAACAATGCATTACATATGTATACAGTAAAGACTCTTTTAATAAATAACACATTAATATGTGTCATTATAGACTTGTTAGTTGTTAACAGTTTTCTTTTCTTTTTTCTTTTTTGGATTTGAGGGAAGGGAATTTGAACCTAGCTCTTGAGTGGGATACACATACCAATGATCATTGAGCCAAATGCTTGGGGGAAATAGTTTTTGTGTTTACCTATGGAGAGAAATAAGGTACAGGTAACAAAATGCAATATCATAATCTACAGCTTTAACTAATTAAATGAAAAGCAGTGCAAAAAGCAAGCAACTAAGAGTCAGAGACTATTACATGAGCAAGAAACTGCTAGATAAATTATAGGTTATTTTCATCTAAATATATTACCCTGGAAGATCTAAATAGCTTATTAATTACTTGACAAAACTACAAATCGTTTTACAGGAGATGGCATGGTAGACATTAGCAAGCATTTTTGTCGATTCACAATTCCAATTAAACATATGTAGGTGAAAAGAACAGGCTAAGCCCCCTTGAAATAGATTAAAACTGAGATGGATGACACCAAGATTTGGAATTTGGAACCAGTTGAGATCTCAGAAACATGGACTGTTTTCACTACTTGTTGATGAAACACAAAAAAAGGGTTAGTAAAACTTTAGCAATGCATCAAACAACAATTCCTAGCTGTATCCTTACTCCTGAGCATTTATTGAATGAAAAATTGAAAACTAAAGATAACATTTGAGAAAAAAAACCTTGGGATTCCTTTGCTGAGATCCAGCTGAGCATCTTTAGGACCAAACTCTTCTCCATCTGGGGATGCTTCAACCACTTGCCCAAACTCTTGAAAGCTTTCTGGGGTGATTTCAATTGGCTTCAGCTTCAATATCCTTGGCTTTGACTCTGGTTTTCCTTCCATTTCCATTTTCAAGTTTGCGTTCTAGAAAGAAAGAGAGAAATAGAATGATCCGTTTAGTAGTTTGCTTTTACCTAGTTGGATCAGAAAATGACGATGAATTATGAGTGAAGATCGTAGAGAGCTAAAACTGAAAATTAGAAAAAAAAATTCTTGAAAAATAAATTTTCAAGAAAACATGTCAGTTTTTATGCGAAAAAATTCAATTGATGTTGACAGTAACAAAAAACAACTTTTTATTTGAAAAAATAATTTATTTATATATAATTGAAGATTAAAAATTTATTTAAATATAATAAAAACATAAAATTTACCTAGAAATAAAAAATCCAAAAGTTCATTTAGAATTTTAATAAAAACATTGCTAAAGAAAGGGAAAATTTACTACTTTAGGAAGAATAATTATATCTAGTAGCAGTATATTATTTTATTAAAAAAAAGTACACCACTTTCTATCTTTAAAAGCTTTTATTGTTAATTTTTGTAAACTCTTTAATCAAAATTTAATTTTTAAAAATTTTATAACTAATAAATTTAATGATGCTTTCTAAACTCTTTACTTAACTTTTTTTTTTTTTTTAACATTCCACTTATTTTTTTCCTTGTTAATATGATCATTTTGCTTTCTTTGATGCTTAAAGTATTCATCTTTTTTCTCTGATGCTTTTGATATTTTTTTATAAATTCTTTATTTCCGATTTTTCCCCGAGCAAGTTAACAATTTGATTTATACTTACAGAAAAATTGAAAAATTAAAAAATAAAAATTACTAGTGTTATATTTACTTTTTATATAAAAATTTAAATTTCATAATTCACATCAAGAAAATCTAGTACAGTTTTTATCTAAACATTTTTACCGAGAAAATCTAGTTTATATCAAATTATCAATCTTTAACTATTAAAATTTATATTATATTAAGGCATTATCCTTGTTCTTATTTTAACAAGTTTGAATAAAATCACATTTTCGTTTGTTAAGTACTTTTTGAAGTCTTAAAAAAAAAAAAAAAAAAAGAGAAAACCCCAATTCGAAACGACAGCGGTTTTATTCATTCTCCACTGTCCCGTCCGTGGTCTCCGCCTTTGCCAAGAATTAAAAAAAAAAAAAAATGTCTGCATGAGAAACAGAGGAAAACCGGGGAGAAACCAAACAACCAAAATAATGAACCAAACAGAGTCAGAAGTCAGAACTGTTAAAAACCTTAACAAAAATCCTAACAACCTCGAAAAACCCAATAGAATCCTTAACTCCTTACACTCCTCTCCTCACTCCTACCCTTCTCCACTCCCTCGTTTCCTCTCCTTCTCTTTCCTTCCACCTTTCCATCCTCCTTTCCCACCATAAATTCTCGCAATCCAAATCCCTCTTCTTCTCTTTCCTTTCCTTTGACCCCCAAAACACCCTCTTTTAACTCCCTTATTCACTACCCTTCCCTTTCAAAGTCAAAACCCCTCCTTGAAATCTCAGTTTCCAGCTATGTCCAATCAGGGAAACCCCGTTTGGGTTTTGAGCTTTTTGGCCTCTTGAAAAGCTTAAAAAGAAACCCAATATACTTACTTGCAATGCTCTCATGAATATCTTGGTAAAGTTCCCATCCTTGCTTTCCATTCAGTTAGGTAAGCAACTTTTTTATGATTCTATTAAGCTTGGTGTTATCCCTCAAACTAAGTACTTTCAATATTTTGATTTTAGGGTGTTGTTTTGAAGGTAAATATAATGAGGCGATTTCATTTATTGAGAAAATGAAGGAATTTGGTTGTTTTCTTGATAATGTTACTTATAATACAATTCTTGGATTTTTGTGTAAGAAAGAAAGGTTAAAGGAAGCTAGGGATTTGTTGCAAGATATGAAAGAAAAAGGGTTGGTTCCAAATAGAATACGTTTAATATACTTGTTTCAGGATATTGTAGGGTAGGGTTGTTGAAAGAAGCTAGGAAGTTATTGATTTGATGGTGCAAAATGATGTTTTGCCTGATGTTTGGACGTATAATATGTTGGTTAATGGGCTGTATGGTGAAGGTAGGATGGAGGAGGTGGTTAAGTTGAGGGATGAGGTGTAGAATTCAAAGGTTTTGCCAGATATTGTTACATATAATACATTAATTAATGGATACTTTAAGTGGGGAAGTAGTGAGGAGGGGTTTAGGTTGGTCGAGGAAATGAGGGAGAAAAGGATGGAGCTGAATCTGATAACTAATAATATATTGGTTAAATGTTATTGCAAAGAAGGGAAGATGGATGAAGCAAATGAAAGATTTAAGGTGATGGAGGAAAGTGAGCTTCCACCAGTTAAGATTACCTACAATACTTTGATTAATGGATATTTTAAGGCTGGGAATTTGGGTGAAGCTTTCAGGATGATGGATTTGATGGTAAGGGAATGTTTTAAGATGGATATTGTGACACTTAATACCCTTCTTCATAGCTATGTGAGGAGAGAAAGCTTAAGGAGGCATTTGAGTCACTAAGAAGTGCAAGTAAGAGAGGTTTTTTGCTTGATGAGGTAAGCTATGGGACTTTGATAACGGGATACTTTTAAGGATGAAAAGGTAGACAAAGCATTGAAGCTTTGGAGTGAGGTGAAGAAGTAGTAAACTATTCCTAGTATCATAACCTATAACACTGTAGTTGGAAGGCTTTGCCAATTGGGCAAAACTGAGCAAGCAATAACCAAGTTCAATGAGTTACTAGGTAGTGGTCTAGTCCCAGATGGAACTACTTACAATACAATTATCCATGTGTACTGCAAGGAGGGGAAAGTCGAGAAAGCATTTGAGTTCCGCAACAAAATGGTTGAAACTCATTCATGCCAGATGGCTTTACCTGTAATATTCTGCTTTGTGGTCTTTGCAATTAAGGTATGCTTGAAAAAGCCGTTATGCTCTTTAATACTTGGGTTTTGAAAGGGAAAGCAACTGATGGAGTTACTTAAAACACAATGATAGCTGGTCTATGCAAGGAAGAAAGATTTGAGGCTGCATTTCATCTTGTCTCAAAATTGAAAGACCGGAATCTAGGTCCTGATTATACCCTATAATGCCATTCTTGGTGCTCTCACCTGTGCAGGGAGGGTGAATTCAGCAGAGGAATTCATGTAAAAAATGTTTGAAGTTGGAAAATCTCAAGAACAGTCCTTACAGTTGAAGGAGCAGAATGTGAAGAGCAGTGAGATTACCAATGTATCTGATCCAGATTCTGGTGCTTGCTCGAAACAGATAATTGAACTGTGCAATCAGGGGAGATATAAGGATGCTAGGCACATTTTTGAAGCATCAAATCAAAAGGGTGTTACTTTAAATAAGTCTGCCTACATTGTTCTAATGGAAGAACTTGTCAAGAGCGAAAAAGCTTATCAAAAGCTGCCAGATAGAAGTAAATATTTATTGATTATTTCCTGACAACGTTCAATGGGTGAATGTTATCACTGAGTGTTTGACTTGGGTTGAGTTGATAGGTAAATTATCTCTTTTTTCACTTCGCTATGGATGAAGATACTTTGAATAAGTCTGCCTCCAGTGCTTTAATGGAATCACTTATCAATAGACGAAAAAGCATATCCGAAACTGTGCAGTAGTAGTAAATATTTCTTGGACTTTTCTAAGCAGTTTTTATCAGGCCAACATTACCACCATGTTTTTGACTTGGATTCAACTGATAGAACCTCAGGTAAGATATGGCTCTCTTCACTTGGTTATGAATGAGAAAAGTCCAAGAAATTGTTTGCATTTTGTTCCTTTTGCTTGGTCAAAGTTACCAATGATAGTAAAGGCCTGGTCATTATTTGGCACTTATTCATTTATTTTGCGCATGATTTTCCGAGTGGCACTTTTGTTGCTTGCCTTGCCTCATGTTTTCTATTGCTTTAAACTGCTTGCAATGTTTGAAGTTTCTGAAGTCAAATTGATGGAAAAGATTCCACATAGTTGTAAAGGAGTCATGTATACATCCACATGTGCATATAATAAAAATATGCAGGCAACAGTGAAGCAAGACTTAAATTATTTTGTGATTTTATGGGATAACTCTTCTGTTATTAAGAAAAGAGCATTATATCTTAGGCTATGCTTGGTTCAACAGAAAAGTGGAAGGATGGTTAGGGGCGGGTGGAAAAGTGGAAAGAAAATGACTTTTAAGAGTGAGCTTGGTGGAACAAAAAATATAGAGGAAGGAAAATGAGAGAGATGAGTGTTTTCTTCCCATAATCACAAAGTATAATCTGTCCAAATTGGGCAGATAAGGAGAGAGAAAATGAAGCCCATGTGACTAAATCAAGTGAAAGTACTAAATTATCCCCCTATGCCCAATCAATTTTAAAGTCAAAATCAGTAAAATCTTTCCTTTTTTTTACGTAGACAAAACATTGTTCTCTGTTTTTCTCCCTCAAGCTCTAACCAATCTCACCCATGCATCCACTCAAAATGATCTAAACTTGAAATGACCTAAATATTTCTTCACTCGAAATGACTCAATCGAAAATGACCTAACTCAAACCCAATTCAACTTGCTCATTTGTTACCTCTACTTTTATTGGATGGCAACTAAAGAAGTTCTTAACATTACAGATAAAATTTCTTAGATTATCATATATGATGAAGTAATGCAAAAGATGGTCTTCCATCCTTAAGTATTACTTAGTAGTTAAATAAAGCACCTAGGTACTAGTTACAAATATACCAAAAACAACATGAGACAATATTAATAAGAAAAAAACAATCAGCTGACAAATAGTATTGATCCTTGTTGGCTGTTTCAATGCAGTTATATTAAAATATCTAAAGAGAAAAAAAACTAAGGATCTGGGCAATGTTAGTGGTCACATTCTAGAAGCCTGTAATGCAAGTGTTGGCATTAAACTTTAGAGAGCAGGTCATTGACTTATATGAAATGTATTGCAGTAAGAAGAAACCACTTTCTGTATTTAGTTTCCCTTGTTCTTTATTTAAGAAGTCTATTAAGTCTAAATGCATCTGATTGTTTGTGGTTTTTTGGGGTGGATATTTTTTGTTGAATCATTGTAATATCTAGGGCCATGGAAAGTTGGTGCATGGAAAGCATTTAATGTAATATCTATGGCATAGAAAGCATGCGCAACTGGAGAATAGGATTTCACATAAAGTGATCTTTTATGGGTGAAAGTTGCTGGAAGTTGGATAAACATGTTGGCCTCATCTGGTATTGCTTTTCTACTGAATTACTCTCATTGTTCAAGGCCTTTGACATTCATAAGTCTAG